CGCCGCGCGCCCCCCGCGCCGCCGCCGCCGCGAGTCCAGCTCACAGGAGGAGGAGGTCATCGACGGCTTCGCCATCGCCAGCTTCAGCACCCTGGAGGCCCTGGAGGTGGGTGGCGAGCGCGGGCCCGAGGCGACCCCCGCCGCGGGGACCGTGGGCGCCCACTGCGGGCCTCGACGGTCGCATCCGGGAGACGCAGAAGCGTCGGGTGGGTTTAGAGGTGCTGTGAGCTGCAGGGGGAAAATATCTAAATGACACCGTCTAAACCGGAGGTTGTCTGACAACACAATCGGCCTTTTTTCAGTTGTGTTTCTGTTGCCAAAACATCACTGGTTCAGCGTGTACTAGGGAGCTGGGCAGTGCTGGACTTCATGGAGGCGATGATAAAGTGGATACTTTTGGGTTTTTTCTGTTCCCCTCTCCCCCTTGACGGTTTTGCTCAGTGGAGCAGAGGGAGGGTCTTGGTGACCACCGTTTGCTGCATGGTTAGTAGGCTGGCAAAAAATATCGCTTGTCTGGCTGATATATAAAGGACGGTATTTGCTGAGCAAATACCCTTCTTGCCCAAACCCAGGTGAGCAGAGAAGGAAATGAAATATTGTCAGAGTTAGCAAGTGGGCTGGGTGGGGCGCTGCTGTCTCCCTAGAACTGGCATGGGTGTCCTGGGAGCCTCAGCCAGCTCCTTTGCCCTCCCGAAGTGGAGACAATTCCAGCGAGGTGTGCCCCATCAGCACTTACTTTGAGTCCCAGGGATCACTGTTGCTGGCACCTCTCTTTTTTCAAGGACTCAGGAGCCTGTGGGCTGGGATCCCCAAGTCTCAGAGGCTGAATTTGGGGTAAGGGAAGATGCCTCCTGCAGGTCTTTGAAGTGAGTTCTTTCCAAGTCCACATTCCAACTCTGGGGTCTGTGAGGGCTTGGAGAGAACCTCAGGGTCAGGTGCCGGTGGCCAGGAGAGGTAGCCCTGGAACAGGCATGCTGCTTTCTATGTGAGCAGATGGGTGGAGAGTGGTGGGGCACCTATGAGCACAGGACGCAGATCCCCTAGCTTGTGTTCACCACACAGCCTGCAGATCCTCTGCTGTGCCCACCTGGGGGCCCGAGGTGGCTTCTGGTCTGAGGGGTCCTCATCAAGATGCTTTGGTGTGGGGGCTGGGAGACTGTCTCCAGTGCTGGCATATGCCATGGCTCTGTACTCGGAAGGGATGGCTCCACAGCAGTTTTTTGCCTTCTTGTTGATAATAATGACACGTGCACTTAGTGAGCACTTTCTACAAGCCTGGCTCTGCACTAAGCTCCTACACTGCAGCGTGCAAGACTGATTCCAGATCTGTAACTGCCCTGCCTGCCTTGCTTCCTGTGTCCCCTGCCAGGAGGGCAAAAAATAAAAACCCTAAATGTGGCCTCAAAGGCCCTGCACACCTGTCAGCCTCCTCCCCTTTCCATCCCAGCATGTCAGCCCTCTGGGTTCTGCCTCACAGCTTCCATACCTATTGTTCTCTGACTGGCCAGCGTTTGGTGCCTGCATGTCTCCACACAGTTGTCCCTGGCCCTTGTCCGAAGTGACATCCCTTCCCACCCAGCTGTCTGTCCCCCACCTTCCTTCCTGTCCTTGCACTACATGAAGCTGTCTTGTGACTTACTCGCCCTCTGGTTTCGTCCTCTCCCCACGAGAACTTGTAAGCTGGAAAAGAGTGGACATCATGTCTGTCTCCGGTCTCCTGTGGGGCCCCAGTGCCCAGAACAGAGCTCGGCTTGTGGAAAGTACCCCACATATGTTTGTGGAGTAAATGAGCGAGGAGAGAAGCAGAGTTTCAGGAAGCCTGGTCTCATGCCTAAAGTCACAGCGCACCGAGCCCTGCTGGGTCCCAGTGCTCTGCCCTCAGCTGTCTGGCTGTCTACCTCCTCCATCAGGGTCACCACCTCCCTCGGCCGCAGGCAGTGGGTTTTGGGGACTTGTGTGGGCTCAGACCAGCCCCACCAGGTCATAGCGAGATTAGCCTGCTTCTGCTTGGCATTCACGTAACCAGGGCATCCTTAGGGCCTTGGAAAGTACGGGGCTTCTGGACAAGTCATAACCTAGAAAGGCCTAGAAGTGTCTCTTCATTGGCCTCATTTCTTGCTGAGGTGTACTGGTTTTTCCCCAAAGTTCAGATAACTTGTAATCAACATTGATAAAAATGACTGGTTCAGTGAACATTCACTCTACCAGGCACTAATCTGAGCTGTTCTGTATAGATATTAATTTGTTTACTTCTCAGATGACCCACCAGGGAGGCTGGTTGCCCCCACTCCACAGGTGGGGACACTGAGGCACAGTATGTCTAACTGGTGTTGAGCGTGCAGCAAAGGGAGTCAATTGCCCCAGCCTGCCCAGGATTGGGGTGTGTGCCCAGGGTCTCCAGGACTCCAGCCAAAGGCGGAGCCTTCACTTGCCATCAGTTTACCCCCAGGTTTTGGGGCTACTCTCACACCAGGATCCCTGGAAGACATGACACCAAGCCCTTGCCCTCTAAGGGTGACATTTAAGTGTCAGAGAAGCCCACATAACCCCAGAGGCCATGTAACCCCTGCCAGGCACAACATGAGCATAAACAACCAAACAGCAGGTGTGGACTTGCTCAGGAGGTGTAGCCTGCGCACAGAAGCGTGTCCCATTACCTTTGTCTGCACCCCCCCACCTGCCCAAATAGGCCCCCCACCCACTCTGTGCCCCAGGCAAGTTCATGACCCCTCTCTGTGCCATGGGTAGGCCCCGTGCCCTCCTCCCCTGTGTCTGCCTCTGCAGAGGAGGAACATCCCCTGTCATGGGGTGGCTGAAGATCGCCCGCCTGTGCCTCTGTGTGCGCTGCAGGCATGGTAGGAACTACCTAAATGTTAGCAGTAGTGGCTGTTGGCTGAGGAGGGGCCAGGATTCTGGCCTGGCTCAGGGCATGTCCTCAGCCCTGGGGACAGAGTCATCTCCACTGGCAGTTAATGATCAACCAGAGACTCAGACTGGATCCCTGTGGTGGAGCCAAGCGTGTGCCGAGGGGCAGGGCTGGGCAGGGGTCTGCAGACCTGAGCCTGGTCCCTTTTGACTTTCTGTTTTTCTCTCTAATGGGGGCTGGGGGTGTGAGTGGGGTCTTGTGGTTTGGGGAAGACAGGATCCAAGGAAGCCCTGCGGGTCTCGTTCCTCTGCTCTTACTCTGACCAGGGATGCAGCCTTCTTGTTTCCTGTGACAACTCTGTCTCCTGATTGAACTGACCAGAGGTGATGGGAAGCCCCCCTTCCAGTGGTGCCGCTGTTCTCTGGATGCCCAAGGTCCTTCCCTGAAGGCCAATTCCCCTGTGTGTGGGGCCAGGAGGAGTGTCCAGGGCTGTGTTAGGCCCCTCTTCCCTGTGGCAAAGGCCTATCTTGCCTGACCTCAGGCCACAGAACAGGTTGTGCCGGTCCCTGTGTCTCTTGAGAGATAGGTCAGAAGCTGCAAGCAGAGCCCCTATAGGCCACAAACTGCCTTCTGTTCCCATGTGCTGCCCCTGCGACCTCCAGCACTCCACTTGGCATTGGCGCTGTGATCCATGCAGCGGGGAAGTGGCCAGCACCTGTGTGCATGTCTGTTATTCTGGTTTGGCATCCGTGTGACTTTTTGTTAATTTGCTTTTTTTAAAACAGCAATTCCATTTCACCTGGTTCAAAAATCAAGCTCTATAAAAAGGTGTATGTTGGAAAGTTTCGGCTCCAACCTCAGCCTCCTACAGGAACTGCATTCACAGGTTTCTGGTCTTTCTAGAGCTTCATGTTGGAGATATAACCAAATACAGACATGCAGTCTACTGAGAAGGGAGGATTGCTCTTCATATCTGTACTCGTGCGTGCTGGGAATGAGGACGGAAAGGAAAACTCCTGAAACACGAGCTGTGACCAGCGACTTCCTTTCTTCAGTTCCTGTGTTTCCGTATTCTCTGGTCAGCCCATATGACTGATAATCCACAGAGATCATGTACCTAAAACCCCCTGGACTCGCTATGCACAGTCAGAGTAGTGCTTCAGAAGCCCAGCGCCAGCCTCCTCACATCCATAGGCTAGTGACCATGTGTGCCCCTACCCCCACCCCCGCTCCCAGCCTTCCAGGGCTGTCCAGGGGTGAGCAGTGATTTTTGCTGAAAATTACTCAGCTTGTCTCAGCTGCAGACAGAAGCCTCTCAGGCTGGGGGTGTGATCCTGGATTCTGTGGTTGTAGCTAAGGGGAGGGTAGCAAGTTCTCAGGGCACAGCCCCATGGTGGGAGACATGGGGATGTCAGGGGGGGTGCCCAAGACCTACCCCACCCTGGGCCACGTCCCAAAGGTTCAGGTGGGTGGTCTCTCTGCAACCCCCTGGTGGGCCAGGTGGGGGACTTCATAATATTGTTCAGGGTCCCCAGGGGCAAGTACACAAGGGTCAAGGCTGGCTCACTGCTGCTCAGGGCTGGGAGTGTGGCCCAGCTGCATGGGGAGCTGGGATGCAGCCCTGCTGGGCGCTGCATGCAGGGGCCTGGCAGTATCACTTGACCTCCAGGGGCCACTGAAGCCCACATTGTTGGTCCTGCCTCTGGGGGCCAAGTTTGTGCTAGGGACCCATCTGCCCATGCCCATTCCTTAGACAGGGATGGGGGCTAAGGCCGTGCAGACGATTGGGCTCAGTGAGGAGAGCCAGGGGCAACAGGGTCATTCACCACAAGAGTGTCTGAACCTCTGGCCCAGAGCACCTCTGCATGGTTGCCTCCTGGTCTTCAGATGGGGAAACCTAGGCCCAGAGAGGAGAAGTGCTTCACCAACAGTCACCAGACAGGGTGCAGAGCTGAGCTTGGAACCTGCTCTAGGACGGTGTTGGGCTGCTGAGAGGCTGTGTTGACCCCAGTTCCTCCCAGAAGTTGTGGGCTAGGGGCCTTCATCTGTCCTGCTGCCCCTTGCAGCCCCCCACCGTGTGGTTTGGAGGCTTTGGGGTCTGAGCTGCTGCAGCAGAATGGTCACCCATTCTCCTCCCCCCTCGTCCCTGCCCCTCCAACTTCTTGGGATCCTTCTGAGGCCTTACTATGGCCACCCCACCTCCCTGTGGATCCCACATATCACTGTACATAGGTCATACTCTGTACCTGGGCTCTGCCCTCCTCCTGGAAGCTTTTCCCCAAGCATCCCAGTGACTCACTCAGAAATCCTGCAGTAAGGAGCCCTGCTGCTGGGCCCCTCTGACCCACCGAGTTATTTCTTTTCAGCTCTTGTCCCCAGAGCTCGTCCCTCGTTTGGGTTGTCTTTGCCCCTCCAGGAGACTCAGGAGGTGTCCATTTTGATCCCCCTCCCCCCCCCACTGAGAACTCAGACCCAAACCTCCTGCACACGTGTGGTTGTTTCCTTGAGAGCAACACCAGAAACACCTGGAACTGGAAGTGCTGAGTCTGCCTGTAGCCTTTCGAAAGCTTTTGATGAGTAGCAAGCCAGTCCCACTTCAGGGAGGTGGCGCAGGGGTGGGGGGGAGGGGGCTGTTCCCTGCTAGGAGTCTCCTGTTTCGGTTACTTGCCGTTTTATGTTTTTGTCCCTCAGAGTAAAAGCCTTGTTTTGTAATTGGTTGTCACAGTTTGTATGAGAAAGCCTCTCTCAACTCGTTTGTACCTGGGCATTTGCTGCATTCCTCATCACTGCTGACGTTTCCCTTAGGGCTTTTTGTGGGGTTTCTTCTTGGCTGAAGTGGCATCTGCAAGTAACCAGGATGTTGCTGCTTTTCTTGCTGCCAGTTTCTTTTCATGTCTTATCGCATTTGTTAGCACTTCCAAAGCGTGTGTTTGACAGTGCTGTCTGTGTCTGTGTCCCTCCTTCTCTGAGCAGGGAGGCTTTCCTTTTTCTGGTGTAGCACCAGAGGTGGATGAGGCCTTGCCCACAGAGCCTGTGTTTCTCCCTGGGCCCGTGAGGTCCGTACTATGCACTGCAGGGCTGTCCTGAATCCTGGGAGTGGGCCCTGACTGGCTGTGTTGGTGGGGTTTCATTTCAGGTGGCTTTGTGGATAGCTGAGATTTTTGCGACAACTCCTAGTAAAATTAGGCTGTGGTTGTCTTGTTGCAGGTTCAACTGCATTTGGATTGGGAACTTTTCTGTCTGTTTTTGTACTCTGGAACACTGGAAATGGCATAAGAATCGTCTACTTCCTCCGGTTCCAGCCCTGTTAGCATGATTTGGGGTGGGGACGCAGGTAATGAGGAAGATGATGAGGGGACCACCTGGCCAGGAAGGAGCTGACTTGCGAGTTGGGGAGAGCATGGCTGACAGTCCTGGGGTGGGCCTGGCTGGACTGTGGGGGTCAGGAGGCCCCTCTGTGGAGGGGGACCTGCAAGCTAGGGCCAAGGCCAAGAGCACGAGAAGGGAGGCATCTGGCTGACAACCTCCTAAGCGTGGGAAAGGCCCTGAGGTGGATCTAGCCTGGCGGTTGAGTCAGGAGGAGCCCAGACCATCCACGTCCCTCTAGGGGCCACCTGGTGCTGTGACCACCCTGACCTAGGCTGTCCCCTCCCTCTGGGCTCACCCTCTGTACCCCTTCTAAGCAGACCATGTTGGGACCTCCTCTGGCCTCAGCTCCTGCATATTTTAGGAGTTCACAGGACTCAATCACCTCTCATTGCCTCCAGGCCCCCTGCCAAGATGAGCTGAGTGGATCACCCCTGGCAGGACCCCAGCCCCAAGACTGGCCGGGAGGGATGCAGGGCACCCTCCCACCTGCTGGGGCAGCCCTGGCCTAGGGATCCGGCCACTTCCCCATGACCTGAGGTCCAGCCCTGAGTCCCCCCACGTGGCCATGACACAGCCATATGTCCCTAAACCAGGGACAGCATATAGGCAGCTCCAGGTCCCCAAGGAAGGGCCAGGGTTTGTTGTGCGTGTTCGGGGGGGTGTGTGTGTGTGTGTGTGCACGCGCGCGCCTGCCTGAGTGTGCACCTCCCCCAGATACCCCAAGGGCCTGGGGCTCCTCCCTTGGCCCTCAGCACCCGGGAGCGTGTAATGTCCAAGAAGGTCATGTGGCACCAGATAGGGGGCCGTCGCTGACCTGCCCCTCTTCCTCCTGCCTTCAGGGCTGTCTCGGTTCTCTGGGAAGTTATCAGTTTTGTCTCTGGGAACCTGGAGAGGTCAGGGTGAGCTGGGCTGGGGCCACCCACCTCTGTTCAGCACCCCACAGCTACCTCTGGCAGGCTCAGGGCCCCTTTCACCCTGCATGCTCTGTGCCATGCACTCATGGAGTCTGAGTCACACAATGGCTTGGGGGTCATGAGGGCTGTGACCAGGGGCTGGACATTCATGGCTGGGGAGGAAATACAGAGGATGTGACATTGGTCAGGACATTCCAGTGGGGATCAGCAAGTGCCCAGCTTATGAGGACCCCCAGCCCTCTGGCCACCTGCGTGGGGCTTCGCCCTGGAGCCCCATCCCTACTGCCCTCTGGAGGTGCTGACAGTTGCCCCCTGCCTTTCTCCTTGGTCTTGAGAATTGCTTTGGTCCCCAAGAAGAAGGCAGCCACAGCCCTGGAGGCCAAGCCTGCATCTCTTTGGAGCCTACAGAGAAGATTTTCCCAGGTCATTCCCTGTCCGGCTCAGAGAGGGGAGCGTGGCAGCCCCACCCTTCCACTGCCATTCTTCCACAGATAGCCCCAGGCCAGGTATCATGTTGGGTTCCCGCTTGGTGGATCTGCAAGACTCTCCAGAGAAATGGGGAGGTGGGCTGTCTGAGACTCCGGTGGGATGAGGGCCGGCCCCGCAGTCCACACATGTCCTGGGTCACGCCCCCCACCTCCCCTACCCTGTGTGCCAGGCCCTGTGCAGCCCTGGGGGGATATACCCAAGAGCCCGGTCATCAGTGTCAGGACAGCATAAAGGGGCTGTCATTGGACTCTGGGGATCACTGAGGAGGATGAGGAGGCCAGGTGAGTTCTGGGACCAGCCCAGGCACATGCCACAGTGGGAGCCCATTGAGGCGGGCAGACACAGTGGATAGCAGCCAGGGGCAGGTTTTGAGTCCGCAGGCAGTGGGTCATCTGGAGAAGGTTTGGGGGCTGTTATGGGAGAGGCAGCAGGAGGAGGGGTTGGGATGGTGGGTGGTCCCCAAGGACATTCTGAGGTGCCTTCTCCTTCAGGAGCTGTATTACAAGACCTGCATGAAATCAAGGTTTCAAGGACTCAGGCACACGGGGTGTTTGGTTCTAGATTAGTGGGGAGAATGTTCCAGTGCCCTTCTATGCCCGAGTAGTTTAACCAGTGTTTTTCAGATCACCAGGAGCTGTCTGGTTTCTGTGGCAAGCTGGGTGTGGAGAGAGCTGACTGGGAATCCCCAGTGCTTTGCTCAGCATCAGGGAGGGCTGGGTGGGCTACATGCCCATCTCTGTGACCCAGCTCTTGGCTTCTTATCTGCAGCAGCTGCGTCAGACCCGGCCAGCTCAGTGGGGCAGACGCAGCCCCAAGACTTGGAGCCACACGCACTGACCCAGTCCCTCCAAGGCCAGGCTCTCTCTTGTGAGAACTTGGTGTCCGCCCCGCAGCTGTCCGAGGCATGAGTGTGACTCCATGGGATGGCCCTTGCTCGAGGGCCCAACCCTATCACCCATAGCTTTTTTGCTTAAAAGCAAAGTCAGTTGTAACCATAATGCTCGAATATGGAAACAGGAATGTGGTGGTCAGGGCCGGTCCATGGCATCTCCTAGGGCTTCATGTGCATCAGCTCATCCATCTTCCTGGTGGCCCCTTGCAGTGGGTGCTGCACTGTCCCCATCCTACAGATGAGGACACTGAGGCAGTGTCTCCACTGCTGGCGAATGGCAGAGCAAGAGTAGAACTCAGGTATGGGGTGAGATCTGTGCGTGGGCCCATGTGTCTGGCTCCCCCGCCCTCCTGTCCTTTGCCATGGTATGCACACCAGCCCCTGGAACCCAGCTCTGTGTCGAGGGTACTTCATCCTGACTCCTCTCCCTACTCAGTCCCTCTGTCACCCTGAGTTTGGCCATATCCTGCTGCTAGTTGCTGCTGAGGAGCTCAGCACCCTCCCTGCAGGCTGTCCTCCATCCAGGGGCTGTGAATGCTGATAGCTCAGGGTCCTCATGGGACCCCCATCACCTCTCTGACCTTTCCCACTGCAGCTGTACCTCAACCAGACACTCTTCCTATGCCCTGCACAGCCTGTGCCCAGCCCCCCACCACCCACTCGCCCCTTGCCCCTGCCTGTCTCCAGGGACCTTGTGGCAGAGAACTGGGCAGAGAAGGAGCCCAAGCAGCCTACAGTGATTGCCTAGGAGGGGTGGCCCTGACATGGACGAGGCTGGACAGTGGCCACATCCACCCCTTAATGACCGGCTGTGCCAGGTCTGTGTCAGCCTAGATCACCCTCAGGGCTCAGCTTCCCCTGCTAGAGCTAGCTGGGATTTGTCAGACAGACTTTGTTCTCTAAGAGACACACAGACCAGCTCGCCTGGATGAACTTGGCTTCATAGATCTCATCTGCTGCCTGGGCCAGACCCCAGGGGTGTCTGTCATCCTGAAATAAAACCCCTTCCTTCCCAGGCCCACAAGCCCGTGTGGCCCAGCCCTGCCCATGCTGCCTCCCTCCTCCACTTGTGCACATCTGCCTCAGGGCCTTTGCACCTGCCTTTGCCCCAGCTCAGGTGTCCCAGTTCCCTTTTCTTCCTCACCACATGGCTGGCAATCCGTTTCCTCATCTGCAGGGGTGCTGAGGTAAGTGCACCTGCTTCCCAGCCACCCAGCACCAGGGTGAGGGTCCCTCTGTGCCATCCCTGTCTCCTCCCGGCAGTCCTGCTCTGAATGAGCCCTCACCCCCAGGTGCATCCCGTGTCCTGCTGGGTCCTGTGTTCAGACCATGCTGGCCGGTGGTGGTGGCTGATGCACAGAGGGCAGGGGCCAGCTTGGACTAGCCAGGTGGGTAGGCTTGGCACTTGGGTACCTGCCCTCACACACTTCTTCCCACCCTAATACCTCTGGGCCATGGCTTGCACCAGGGTCCTCCCACATCCCATGTCCATGGCACCAGGCTGGCTCTGGGCCACCCAGGGCTGCAGAAGAGGCTCAGGTGGGCCGGGCCCATGTTTGGCCGCTGAGCAGCAACTGCTCGGGTGCCTTGGGCTCCCCAGCCCTGACCCCAGGGACCGGCTCAGGCTGAGGTGAGGGGGCTAGTGCTCTGGATGCCTCCCCCAGCTGTGATGTCACGGCCCTGTCCTGGAGTCCCCAGGCCCACGGCCTCCTCCCCTTCTCAGCTTGCATTGCCTTGTCCTGCGTCCCTGACCCTCTGAGACAGTGTCACCTGCCTGGGTGTTTCCCAGCACCGAGCTCCCTTAGATTGTTTTCATCTACATCTAAATGACCTAGTTTATTATTTTTTTTAATTGTGAAAAAGATTATATGGTCAGAATGTGTAGAGCCTACATCTGCTTTAAAGCGTTGACCATGAGTGAGCCCATGTGACATCCCCAGCAGGCCCAGGAGCTGGAGGGCAGTTAGAGTCCCTGAACAAGGGTGGTGGGTGGGGGCTGTGCAGGGGTGGTCTCTCTTGGCTGCTTCGATCCAGCATGTGGCCCAGGGCAGATGGGCAGTGGTGTGACACGTCCTTGTACTCCTTGGGGAACAAACACCAGGGGCAGCTGCCTGCCCCTCGCCCTACCTGCTGGCGTGGGGGCCGGCCAGTCCCCAAGGAGTCTCTTCTAGAATCCACAGCAGACCCCCAGGTGGCTGAGGCCTGGGAACATCATTACCTCCTTCCTGGCACACTGCCGCCCCAGGGCCATCTCCTCTTGTCCTGCTGCATCTGGGTCTGGGTCCTCACACAGCCCGGAGGAACCCTGCTGGAGGAGGAGCAAGGCTGCAGGCCCTGTCTGAGTGTGACCCCTGGCCTTCCAAGACATTGGAGCTGGAGGGAAGAAGACACCACTTAGGCTCCACAGTGCACAGCAGAGACCAGCAGTTGACCGTGGAATCCAATTGAGCTTGGTCAGAGGGTGGGTCAGGTAGGCAGTGAGGGGCCCCCTCTTCCCTACTGCAGCCCTCACGTGGGCCCTCTTGTCCACACGCCTATTCACAGCACTGGCTTCTCCCCGGGCAGTGCTGCCGCACCCACCAGGTCTGCCTCAAGCCTGTGAGCTGTCCACGCCACAGGGTGGGGTCTGCTTTGTCCCCAGGTGACAGTGCTGGTCACACAGTGGGGGCTTCACAAAGGTCTCCCCACAGGGCCAGGGTGGTATACAGCAGGTGTTCAAAGCACTCTGCCCAGGCAGTAAGGGATGTTTAAGCCAAGCTGGGTCGGTTGGTGACACCCGGGCCTCCTGGCGCTCAGCCTCCCACCACACCCCAGCAGCCCTTCCTGCCTCCTGGGTCCTTATGTGGCAGCCCACACAACAGTCACTTGGAGCCTTGACCAGCACCGGGGAGGTCTGTGGTCTTCACGTCGTCATGCTGGTGGCAGCCCTGTAGTGGCCTACCAATTCCGGGTGCTGCGCCTTGCCAGGGTGCAGCCAGCCATCTTCCAGGCAGCTCGGCTTGCTGGGGACAGGACCTCAGACTCCTGTGGGGTGGGCCATGAGAAAAAATTCAGGCGGTCAAGTTGACAGATGTGTTGGGCAGGAGAGACACAGGGGCCATAGCTGGAGGGGCAGTTAGGGTCCCCACGCCAGGGTGGGGGGTGGGGGCTACACGGGAGTGGTCTCCATTTGGCTTGGGGCAGATGGACAGCAGTGGCCAGTATGGGGGCCTCTGAGTTGGCTGCAGGTGTCTGAAGTGGCCAGAGGGACCCAGTGGGGTGGGCACTTGGGGTGCTGCCTGCACAGAGACCCTGGGCTGGGCTGGGTTGGATTTGGTGGGTGCAGTGGGCGGGCCCCAGGGTGGGGACAACCACAGCTTGTGAACAAGTAGGTTCAGGTGAGGAGGGAGGGCCAGGAATGCTGGGGAGGGAGTGGGCTGAGTGCTGCTGTTTTAATTAGGGTGGTCAGGGAAGTTGAGCCGACCCGTGCAGGCCGGGGAGTAAGCCACGTGGATGCCAGGGCAGAGGGTTGGCTGCGCCCAGGCCCGGGCAGGTGCAAGCAGGCCTGGAGGCCACTGCAGGGAGAGCTATGGAGTTTGCATCCAGACCTGATGGCGGGCGTGAGAAGCAGAGGCTGAGGTTTTGGCCTGAGCTCTTGGAGTAAGGGAGACATGAGCCTCTGCATGAGCTTCTGGGAGACAGGTCAGCTGGAGAGCCGGCTTCCTGTCCTGCCTGATAGGACCCTTGGGGGCTCCAGGCCTGATCTTGCCTGGGGGTGATGTGGTCATCACATGGGGCAAGAAGTGAAGGGGAGATCTCAAGTGCCCCATCCCCAGGGCCAGGCCTTCCTGTAGCCTGATAGCCTCGTGCTTCCAACAAGGGCTCTGGGGGAGAGGCCCTGACATGGTTCCAGGAGCGCTGGCCAGCCTGGATGAAGTGGGTGGGCCGAGCTAGGAGGGAGTAAGCAGCCTTGCCCCATGAGGGGAGACCGGGGATCTGCTTACTGATTTACAGTTTTATCTCCGTAGTTGGTTTACTGTGGTGCAATTAGAGGTTTTGATGGTGTTGCATAGTAATGACATTTAGGGGAGCTGAAAACAGATAAAATGGCTACAGGAAAATCTAGTCAGCGATTTCTCGGCAGTGAGCACCCAGCCTCAGTGGTCATCCTGGGGAGGGCAGCAGAGAGGTTTGGGAGCCTGGCTGTGCTGGGAGGTGCTGACCACCACTGTGGAGCCCTCGCCTCGAGCAGAGAGGGCTTCCTGGTTTCTTCCTGCAGGGCCCTGCACATGCAGGCATGGGGTCTGGCACTCAAACACATGCGCCGACCTAGGTGTGCACCACAGAAGGGTCCATGAGGCTCAGGGCCTCCACTGCACCAGCCCTGTAGGGCTCCCTGCCTTCGGCCTCTCTGCACAGCCGCCTCCATTGCCTGTAGTGATAGTGGGAGCTGGGGGCCCTCAGGGCAGGGCTGGGTGGTGAGTGGTGCCTAAGGACGCAGATCCTGGGCCACAACTGAGGCCTGTCAGTGCCTCAGTTTCCACATTTGACTCTAGGGTAGTCACAGCACTGTCTTCATGGGGTCATGTGTGGATCTGATGAGCAGATGTTTGTCGGAAGCTTTGCGGGGCAGTTGACATAGACCCAGCACTCCCTGTGCTGAACGCGGAACACATGTCCAGCTCCCCTGCCTCGGCTCAGTTCCTGGCCTGGACCTCCAATTTCACTTCCCTGATGTGAACCTTTCAGGCTCTTTCACGGATCCTGCACCCTTGTGCGGTGGAATTCCAGCGCCTTCCCTGGAATTGCTTGAGCACCACCTGTGGGGGTAGGACTGTAGGTGCCCCAGTTCGGGGGTGAGGCCATCCAGGACATCCTCTCAGGCCATGATTCCTGTCCCAACCCAACCCAACAGTCTACACTGAGAATGGATCAGTTCCTCTTTCAAGCATTGGAGATGCTACGACCACCACACCACTCCTCTTCATGGCCTTGGAGGGGTGCCTACACAGCCTCTCTGAGCTTCAGTGCTGACCCCTCAGGGTGGACGTGTGGTGACGAAGTGACTGTGCTCCACATGGCATGCAGCACTGAGGGGCCTGTCCTGGTGGGTTGAGCAAGTATGTTGGGTTCAGTGATGGGGCCAGCAAGGGTCCTGCCGTGTGGCATCCTGCTGTCAGGCCCTGTGGGGCAGTGCTGTGGTGTGGTCATGGGGTCTCTGAAACCAGCCAGATACAACCCGCAGGCTCACCATCACCCTGGAAAGCCTGGAATGGCCGGCTGTGCGGCTGTGTTCATCATTGCTGGCAAGACCAGCTGGCCCTGTCCCAGGTTAGGTGCTTTTCCTGTCTTCAAAGGGCTGCAGGTAGACAGCTGGCTTGCTCTCTTGCCTCAAGAAACTCAGAATAGGGTGTAGAGGATGGTCCCACTGATACCCCACGGGAATTCCTTGTTCTCACTCAGGACCCTGTGGACACAGGGTCTGTTGCTGAAGCCCAGGATGCCTATGGGACTCTCCTGGTTGCTGCTCTTCAGCAGCATCTGGGACCCTGCCCTGGGGCTGAGCAGAGGGGAGGGATGGATGCTGAACCAGGAAACTGCCCTGTGCTGGGTGTGACTTTAGGTGGGGTGAGGCCAGAGGGTTGGTCTGTGGAAATGGAGGAGGGTCCAGAGCAATCTTTATTTTTTTAAAAGCAAAGAAAAGCCAAAACAGGTTTACAGGAAATGTGGTAAATTTAAACAATTTGCAGTTAGCAAATGTATATTTTTAGCCACATGTAAATAATGTGGTGACTGGAGAGATGGCCTGAATCGCCTCGTGAGGCTGGGGCAGGGCCTGGAGGAAGGGTCTGCTTCACCCCCCCCCCCCCCCCCCCCCCCCCCCCCCC